TAAAAGTGAAAAGCATATTGATTAAAAGTGAAAATTTGCATATTGATGACGCCAGTTGAGCGATCTACGATACCTATACTTCCTGTATGATATATGATTTTTGTCAGAAAACAGTCTCTTCTTTTCAAATTGTAAATATATACTTTTTAAATATTCGGAACACTGGATAAAAAAGCACATTGGATCTAGAGTACGGACTCTTAAAAACATCCACAAGAAAAAGTACTCTTGATTCAATCAGAATCTAGCTTAAATCAAGAAAGCCTCTTAATTTAAGCAGATTTCGTTTTGATTCAAGCAAAAATCCGATTGAATCAAGAGTATTTTTTCTTGTCAGTGTTTTCAAAAGTCTGGACTCTAGATCCATTATAAGTTTTTTTTTTTCCAGTGAACGCTTTCACGCAACAAACGAACCACTCGACTCAACCACCCTTTCCGCTTTTTCTACAAGCTTCCTACTGAAAAGCTAATGAAAAATCAATCGATCAATCAAAGAGTCTTTAATATATGACGATCAATTATTTGCGGGGTTTAATGGACAAAGGTGAAGTTTTGAATCATTCATAACCCCTTTTACAGAATGGGCAATGGGCCAAAAAGCTAGGATGGCCAGTTGACTTTTGAATGGTTGCATCGAGGAAAATGGAATTTTTAGGGTGCTTATTGATCATTCAAGTCTACTTTTTGGCGAATGCAAGCATATAACCCTTTGACTCGTACAGACGAGAATTCTCGTCCTCGCGTAACGGCACTGTGACCCTACGGACGAGAATTCTCGTCTTGGAGCTTCCAAAATCTTCATTTATGATGTAATTTATTTTTAAAAAAAATTGGGTGCTGGTATTAACTTTTGATGGCTGGTCTTCACTCCAACGCATACTTAATGGGACTGAGTTAAGCAGAAAGGAACCAACCCACATTTTGGAAAAAATTGAGTTATGAGTGGTTTTGAACTCAACCACTGCCCTACTACCTATCGCCAAAAAATCAGAGTTTTTGTTGGAGCAAATTTTGCAGAAATTGGACTTGAAGTTCATCTTTAACACGGAGTCTTATGCAGGAGCAAAACTTTAAACCTCTTTTTCTCCGTTCGATCCCGATGTGGCTTGGTTCCTTTCTGTTTAACGCGGTCCAATGGTGAGGCACACACAATTCCAAGCTGTCTGGTTGAGAAATAAGCAAATAAAGGTGAAAAAACTAAAAACAGTCATTTTTGCCTGATTTACAATTCCTAACCTACAAGCTGGGGGAGCACGGCGTGAAAATCTAAATCAGTAGTCAAAGGGTTAAATATAAAATCGTGAAAAGGACGTGTAGCTCATTTTTCTAACCTCGCGTTTAAGTCTCCGAAGCCACATATTTTACTACCCAATGATATTCAGTGTATTGTAGTGTTTTAGACAGTATGCCCGAAAACTGTACGCATTTTGAATACGAAAATCATGAAAAAGAAGTATAGTCTACTTTTTAACCTTGCGCTAAAGTCTCCAAAGTCACGCATTTTAGTACCCGCAGTAATATTCAGAGTATTTTAGTATGTTTTAGCCAGTATGCCTAAAAACTGTGCGCATTTTGAGTATAGAAGTCATAAAAAAGACGTGTAGTATCTACTTTTTCAACCTTGCGTTAAAGTCCCCAAAGCCATGGTGAAGGTGCCTGGAGAAAGACCCTCAGAATTTTGTCTACGCAAAAAAATATCCATAGTAACCTACTAACACTAAACACTTTATCTTTCTATTTGAACCCTTTCAAATGTTAGCTGGCCGTCCTGGGACTTTCTATGTGTATATTCAGACGGTTTGACAAGGCATCAGGTAGAAAGTCTGAAGTTCTTTTCTGGGAATGAGCTGCTCTAAATTATTCAAAAGAGCATTCTGTTAAATCGTCGTTTTTCGAACGAAGGAACGTAATTCCATTCCAAAGTTGCAGAACTGATTCAAACAATCCAATTTTTGAGAAGAATATACTAGTGCGATTTCTGTCCGAAATTTGTGAGATTTTTGCACGAGATCAGAAGGAAAATCAGAAAAACTTTAAACTAGAAATTCCTAAAATTCTCCTGGAAAAAACGCAATTTGTGAGTGAAAATTTGGCAACTGTGAAATGGTGAGACGTTTTTTTGTGAGGAACGAGGAAATATAACCTTTCACATCTATTTTTCTGTCTGATATGGAACGTTTTGAACAAACAAACAAACAAAAACAAAAATAAATATATTTTCACCTAACGGAAGGTGAGAGTACCCTTTCATATTTCCTTTCACAGAATTACATGAGAAAGAAGTAAAAACCAAGATAAAAAGATTTATTTTCTTCTTAGGTCTAAAGCACAATTACAATTTTTGGCACCAGTTATTTACAAAACAAAGGAATGATCTCTGGACCGAGTAAAAATAATTTAATTTAGTAAGAGTATCTGGAGACGGCGTGCAGAAACGCTCCAAATATTTTAGATAGTCATGAAATCATACTACGAATGCAATATAATTGAATTTTGAGAAGGTAATTCTGAACGTTAATGTTTTGATGCACCAATATCCTCATGCAGCTTATACCAGACATTTTTTCTTTTAATCATTTGCATATTGTTTCGTCGATTTATCTCTTCCATTCAAATTCAAATTCCATTTCATTTCAATATTTGAGAATATGGTGATTAGAACTAACGGGGATAACTATACTTTCAGATCTTTAAAGTTATAAAAATTAGGTTAAATATCTTTGATCGATACTGAACGGCTAACAAAGGCCTGACGCAGTTTTTGATGGCAACTTCAAGATTTTTTAGGAATTGAGCCGAGTTATTTATTTATTATTCATTTACTTTTTTCAATGAAATGCCCCAGAATAATAACTGAGAATAGTTGTGAAGTTACTGCAAAATATTTATGACAGGATCCTCGAAAATCACATATTGGACGGGCTGCATGTGTTCAGAAAAAAAGAACCGTGTACATTTCAATGCTGCTTTGATTGTGTGTCTCCCTTCATCTTGAAGGAGAGCCTGATTCTTTTGCCTTTTTTCATTTTGCACGATAAGTACCCTATTTAAAAGAGAAAATGAAGAAGTTCATTTTATTTCATGCTTTCAGAGATTTTCACCATGAAGAGAAAATTATGCAACCGCTCTGTTGGTACCGTACATTGCAATGCATCTAGTTTCTTTCTTTTAAACTCGGTCCAGATATTATATAGATTGTGACTTATTTACAGGGATATCAATGGCCACAGTACAAAACCACGTATCTACATTATGATGTCTCAGAATGTCCGCTTTTACTGTTTTTCCAAGAAAAACAAGCCAACTTTTTAGATCGATATTTATACATAATATTTTGCCAACAGAGATGAAAACTCAAGAAAATACGTCGATTCGTTTTCCAAAGGAAAAATAAAGTATGACAGGAAGTGCACAATGTCGCTCGCAAACGGAGATACGTGGTTTCGCATTTTGACCATCGATATACTCGTATGTCTCTACGAAAAAAAATGTCAGCTCAATTGGACTGCATTTTGCACAAAAGAAACTAGGTACCAGAATTGCGTTGCCGCTCAGATTGTGCAATTTTTCTATGATTACTAATAATTGATAAATTAACTGAGAGCAGTTTAGATGAATTAAATATATAGTACAATACCTGCTCTCATTCAATTTCTTAGGGCACTAATAGAGAATGTTCGAATTGGTGTGTTTTTCTTGCAAGATAAAAAAGGTTGCAAGGTGATAGCAACATTTCATACACTGATTACCGGTTCCTGATTGCAAAATGCGGTCCAATTTTTGGGTTACATTGTGCTAAGAGGAGCTATAACTCCGCAGTTTTGCAACGTACTCGCCCTGAAGCACCCTGACTTGAGACGGCCTTGAGAGCACATCCTAATATTCATTGGATTTCCTGCACGCGACAATATTTGGAGCAGATTTCAAGTCAAGGCAGATTCAAGGCAAGGAATATCTTGAAATTTCGATCTCAATGGAAGTAAATTAGAGGAAAATACCTATCTCCTGTGGAAATTTGAAAAAAATGACGTATTTTAAAATGCACCAAGGCCCGTATTCATAGTCTTTCCTTGAACAGCTCCTTTCCAAAGGAATTCCCATACAGTGGGCTAACTGTTGAAATTGATAGACAAAGCGATAGACAAAGAAGAAATCGGGAGTATGGAGCGATCCTATTGGTTGAAATCCCTGGTTCCTGTGGACTAAAGGAGAAAATCATGGACCAACTATCGGGTCTCTCGTGGATTGCCGTTAGTTAGTCTATTGCCTACCTCCTTTGTCCGTTGCAACCACCCTTTTCCACCAATAAGATCCCTTCATATCTCTTTTGTCTTCTTTGTCAATAGCTTTGTCTATCAATTTCCATAATCAGGATGGAATGGATTTTGAAAAATCATAAAACTGACGATTTTTATAAATCTCGAGTAAAATTCGATACGTAAGAATATATTGTGCAAATTTTGTAAAATTTAAGATAGGTTTGCATTTACAATATTGAATTTTACTCGAGGCTCGCAAATATTGTCCATTTCATAATGCTGTCCAAGGTTTCGTTAAACCTCTCTTAATCATAGTGTTAATCATGTAGGGCCCTCGAGGGAAAGTGGCTGTTAAAGAAACGCCTATGAATGCGACCCTATAAAAGTAACTACGTTGATTCTTTAAAATTTCCTGCAGGGGTGGATCCCTACTAAACGGACTATTCATTTTTGCAATAGGGATCTACTATTCCCAACTTGTTTTAAAAACACGTATATTTTGTCAGTTTCTTGTGAAGAACACTGGAAATTAAAACACATTGGATCTAGAGTCCAGACTTTTAAAAACATCGACAAGAAAAAATACTCTTGATTCAATCGGATTTTTGCTTAAATCAAGAACCAAGCCTCTTAATTTGAGCGGATTTCCTTTTGATGTAAGCAAAAATCTGATTGAATCAAGAGTATTTTTTCTTGTCAATGTTTTCAAGAGCCTGGACTCTAGATCCAGTGTGTTGTTTTTTCCAGAGAAAGGTGTTTCTATGGAAGAGTCAGAAATTGTAATTCCTCAACGCAAAATGACGTCCAATCGTACATCACGATACTTCTCGTTCGAGTTCGACCCTGTTTGGTTCGTAATTTGTTCCACCTCTTCCGTTGAGAATCACTTCTTGAAATTGTAGTAGCCAACCCGGAACCTTTGCGATATGCTGGGTCCTTTGATGTTCTTGTTTATCCAGTCGACGTACATGCTCAAAGGCGTGTAGGCTTTTGCTCCGAGCCCCGAGGAAAGTTCAATGCCCGCCAAAATTCCGTCGCACATGACACCACTTCCACTGGTGTCCTGAGAAATCTGAAACCATAGACGATGCGAGTGATAATTCATTTGATTATGAGCAATGAAAAACGAGCTAATGGCCCAAAATGTAACAAGGATTTAGAATACACATAAAAATTGGTAACCGACACTAAAAAAAGGAGGTTCAAACGGCCGCCAGCCGGGGCGTTATGGGTTCCTGAACTCCCCCCCCCCATTTTTGACCTGATGAAATAAAATGGATTGCATTTTGCAAAAAGGAACCACTAGCATTGCAATGTTGCTAAGACTGTGCAACTTCTTTTGTCTTGGAGGAAAAACCCGATTATCCATTAATAGTTTCTATTTTACTCGCTAAAAACTGTAAATTTAAGACAAAAATTACCATCTAAATTTCATAGTTTTTCACAATTTCCGCAATTTTATTGCAAAGGATATAGTTGCACAATCTTAGCATCATTGCAATGCTAGTGGTTCCTTTTTGCAAAATGCAATCCAAATTTAGGTGTAAGAAGAGACAAAAGCTAAACGCTACAATACCGTTGGGGGTAAATGGAGGCAACCTCTTTTTCGGACTGTGCTGTGTACATTTTAGCTTTTGTTCCGTTTGCGTTTGTTAAATTTACATACTATTATTTTTGGTTGGAAATAGGAGTGTTATGACCCCGACACATTCCGGCCTTTAAAGCTTTGTGTCGGTTCTTATTCGTTTCAATTAACTATGGTATAAATTGCGCAATAGTATAAAAATTAAAAAAATTAAAACAAAATACTCATGTCCATGGGTAAAATAGAAAAGCGCGTCTAATCAATTGGAAAGCTCCGCACGTATTATTATTATTATTATTATTTTTTTTTAAAAAAAAAACTAAACAATAGTTTCTCCAGAAATTTTCACATTTACTCACTCATTCAAAAATATTCATTGAAAATGTCGAGGAGATGTTTTGAATAGTTTCCTTTGAATAAAACTGAAAATTGTACACATTTTAATGGAGGATACGCATTTTTTCATGTTACATGACGGTACAGGTAAGGGATCTCAGGGGTGGTGAAAAACTTGGGATTTTTAACAATTTTGGTGATTGCGTAGAGAGAGGCAGTGCGATAAGCGAGCAAAGACGACCTTACGGCTCTCTCATTTTGATGCTACCATTCATTCCCCTTCAACTCTGAGGCTATGCAACCTGATCATGCGTTTCATTTCATGTTGTTGCATTCTTGATTTTGCGGGAGAAAATAATGCCTGACCAGCGAGGAGTTGAGGGCATAATACATACATAACCACTGCCGACTTTTCTTGTCAACTATAAAAAATTTAATCAGACGTAGGTTTTACTTCATTTTTCGGATGGAGAAGAGATCGACATTATTATTTGAAATTTTCTTTCAGTGTCCTCATGATCAAATCCCTGAAAACATAAAATGTGCACAGAAATTTCGACAAATACGCGAGATTTTGACGTTTAGCCATCGAAGTGTTCCTAAAAATTATGCAGCACCCTGCGTCACTTTATTCAAGAACGATAGCACACAAGTTAATGACGGACATTGAAGTAGATAATACTCTATAAAAATAGGAGTAATTTTCTAAAATGTAATTGGATTGCTCTGATGAATAAATTGGAGAGCGAATGTTCGAGTTCATCTCGCACAAAAGGAAAGTGACAATATGTGAGGCTTAAATTTCCTTCAATTTCAGTGGACGCAACCAAGCATACAGCTAGGGAACTTCAACACGAGTTCATTTGTACAACATAGAAATACTGTGCGCTTGATGTGTGAAGCGTATGACCCTTTCGCTTTATTGAATTTTCTTTTGGGGTATAACCCTCTAATCTAGTCGTTGAAAGGGTCTCGATCCCACTTCGCTTGTTACTTTCTGCACTGAAAAAAAAAACACATTGGATCTAGAGTCCAGACTCTTGAAAGCATTGATAAGACAAAATGGATTGCATTTTGCAAAAAGGAACCACTAGCATTGCAATGTTGCTAAGATTGTGCAACTTCTTTTGTCTTGGAGGAAAACCCCGATTATCCATTCATAGTTTCTATTTTACTCGCTAAAAACTGTAAATTTAAGACAAAAATTACCATCTAAATTTCATGGTTTTTCACGATTTCCGCAATTTTATTGCAAAATATGAAGTTGCACGCAATCTTAGCATCATTGCAATGCTAGTGGTTCCTTTTTGCAAAATGCAATCCAAATACTCTTGATTCAATCAGGCTTTTGCTTGAATCAAAACGAAATCCGTTTAAATTAAGAGACTTGGTTCTTGATTTAAGCTAGATTCTGATTGAATCAAGAGTACTTTTCTTGTCGATGTTTTTAAGAGTCTAGACTCTACATCCAATGTGTTTTTTTCCAGTGTGCCGCTTTCTGCACGTGCCAACTTGGAAACATGGCACTGTTTTAAAGCTAACTTTTCCTCATGATTGAAGCCAAATAACCGTCATTGACCGTTACAGATATTATAAATACTTCCGTAGAGGTAATAGTAAAATTATTTGCTTACTTTTCTGGTGTCCGCCGTTACTGCATTTTGACACGCTAAAGTTAAGTACGGCGTTCGATTCACTTCAAACGTACTAAGAGAATGAGAGCACAGCGGTGAATCTGTGAAAACAATACAAGAAGCGAATAAAGTAGGTGAAAATCTGTCGAAATAGCATAAGAGCGAAAGAAGTTGGGAAAATGCTCTTCGAAAAGTGATTGTAGAAAGCATAAGTGGACTACATTTTGCAACAAGGAACCACAATTTCTGGCACATCCCTAAAGTACTTATCTGTATAAGAATACTAAGGACGCGCGTTCTCTCTAAATGAGCCAGAAATAGTAAGTCTTATTGCAAAATGTAATCCATTCAAAACAAATCTTGTAAAATTGAGCTGGCGTTAAGTTTTTACTGGGGCCAGCCTCCACTTTTTCGTGAGGATTTCTCTTTTTAAATAAGTAACTTATCTCATGTAAAACCTAGTTTTCCGCAGAAAAATGTCATTTTTGCACTCTTGATATTTTGATATCATGCGGATGAAGTAAACTCATTACAATAAGTACCAACCTTTTGAGTTTACGTAAACATAACACTAGAATTACTCGAATTATAGATACAGTAAGAACACTTGAGACTAAAGATTTTTTTCTCGGTGTCATTTTAAATTTTGAGTGAAGAAAATCAATTCATCGTAACTTTTGTACCCATACATTTTTAACCTTCAAAGCCTTATGTGCAAAAGAGAAAAAGGAAGAATATTATTTTGCTAGAGGTAATTTTTTTCTTGGATACTACAACTCCGAAATTTGCATTTAAGGAGATATTTTCCTGACGTTTATACGTGGTAACTTGATTATCATTATTGGAGGTATTTGGAATGGTAAAGCTCGTTCACATTCTTAGCTGAGTGTTCAAGTCTCCACTACATGATCAACATACGGCATTATATCTTCCACTGGAAATCCACCGTTGTCTTTGATTGAAACTGACGTGCGATTTTACTGATTTCATCAAATTGATAGAAAATAAATAATGTGAAATATACTATAATAATAGTATGCAATGTAATGTTCAAACTCATGTTAGATATTTAAAATTAAAACTCGATTCATATTTTTTTTTACTCATTTTAATTGTTCTTTCTCTCAATACTCTTTTGCAGTTGATAATTTTTGGTGAAAATTTTAAACTTTACACAACGAATAAAAAAAAATTTAATTTTTTTTAATTTTTTTTTAAAATTTTTTTTGTGAACTGCACATCGTAAGCTATGTAACTGCATCGACCTCTTCTTTTAACTAAGACGACTCTTACTTACCTCGGTTTACGTAATTACTACTGTACCGGCTGAACATTGGTTTTGTCTTATATTCTGATTCTTCTTCGTTGTGCGTCGAACTACACTTCATATTCCTTAAGATTTGTCCCTTGAAAGGTAGCTTCGGAATACACTGGTCATTGTAAGGAACTGTTGCTTTTAAAGTTACGATACCTGAAAAAGTCGATCAGAACTCTAATTATTGATATCTCGTAAAATTTCGTATATTTATTCATGAACGGAAAATTTGCACACAACATTTTTATTGCTCCATCTGAAAGTGCTTGATGAGCTGCGTTTGCAGTATTTTTTACAATTTTTTCTGGAATGGGAGTTTATTGGAGAAAAATAAATTTAAAGTGAGAAAATATGCCGCCTTGTGATGTCATCTGGCGGCATTTTCCATTTAAACGCCTAAATTTTAGCAGATATAATAATTTTGTCATATTTCCTCCAATAATTCGTCGCTTGGCTAGAATAAAGGCGTAACTACACTTAGAAATGAGCCGAGGAAACATTGAGTCATACGGACTACAAGGCTTATAGCGAAGTGTCGTTACGTCCTTATGTCAGGAGGGCGACTTGGTTCAATTTAGAAACCGAAGCTATCCTCTTGCCAGTGGTGTGGCGTGCTTCGCGATCTATCGATTGATTTGCCATTTACACCTATGGAAAATGGTCGATGAACAGGGTGATCCCAACGAAAAATTTAATAATCGATTCCGTACCATAGTTTCAAAGGGGAAAATGTCGATAATCGATCATTCAAGCCTCGCCACTGCCTCTTAATTGCTAAGCTTCCTTCGCAATTTCATTTTAAACATGAAATTTACAAAATGTCAGACACCTGTAAATTCTGCATGCATTCATTTAATTATTTAATGAGAAGAAAAAAACACTAAGAAGTGGCCCGAACACTGGATGTATTTTTTTAAATACACCATTTCGCGGGGAAATCAAGGCCAAGAAGTTCCAAAAATTATAATTACAGTCAAAAATAAATTTTCGACTCGAGTGACTCATTAAAGTTAAAAAAAAATTATTTTTGACTACAATAATTGTAATTTTTGGAACTTCTTGGCCTTCATTTCCCCGCGAAATGGCGTGAACCCTATACGGCCATTTCTCTATGTCTTGTTACATTTAATCATTTATTGGTATCTAAACTGATTCTTAATTAGTACAGCGTTAAAATATCACTAGATCCTCAAATTGAAATTGCAACACCGCGGAAAAAGTGGCAGTGGTCCTCCCGCGCGGACACGCGGCAGAAATTAGGAAAATGGACCATCAGGCCTAATTTGACTATCCACAATTAGCTGGGCGTGACAAGCATCTTCCATAAACGTGGTCCGTCTTTCGCTTTTTCTCTCGGCCCGACGCTACGTACGCGCGGCTGATTTTCCGCCCCACTGACGATGTCGTTTCCCGTTGCAACATGAGTCAAAAATCCCGCTCCTCTACCCCGATGACCCCTTGTTTTGGTGGAATAATTCGAATTTTGGTTCAATTTGTAACCGAACGATACACGCTCTTTCTGTTAATCCGTGGGAAAGAGCCATGATTACGCCCTCTACAAGCGACACAGATACTTTGCGAAGTTGCCACTTGAACTGAATAAGTTTTTTTCTGGCATTCGCGATGTTTGGTTAATATTTCGAGAGAGACAACGATTGTCAACCCTGCGTTTTCGCTAACTCGTCCTGGTTAATTGCTGCAGCTGAAATTGCCGAAAATCCTCTTTCCTGAAAGTAATCGAAAATGTATTCTATACGAGCGTGCCACTGTGCGGTACTAATACCGTTTGTGTTCAAATGCATGGCTATTAAATTAAAATTAATCCTATACACCGAGAAAAAAGTGAAGTTGATTTAACATTCTGGGTGTAGAAAAAGTGTGCGAGAATACTTATGAGATGCTGAATTACCCGTCACAGCAGTTAGTTTTACATCTTGGCATTGTTAAAGTAACCGAGTATTGTTGTAAACTTACCGAGATCATTTTTATTCATTGCCTGAGGATTGCTGACAGCCTGGAAATTTTCGTGCACTGTCACTCCGTTTATACTGTGGTTGTTGCCCCTATTAGAGATAGCTGACACTCCCGCCATATTTGACTCAAATAATCTAAAAAAGAATCAAAGGACTTTCATGATAATATACAATGTATAGCAAAACAGTAGATAGAACGAAGGACGAAATTCATAATGTAAAATATACACTGGAAAAAAACACATTGGATCTAGAGTCCAGACTCTTGAAAACATTGACAAGAAAAAATACTCTTGATTCAGTCGTATTTTTGCTTGAATCAAAACGAAATCCGCTGAAATAAAGAGGCTTGGTTAAATTTAAGCTGGATTCTGATTGAATCAAGAGTGCTTCTTCTTGTCGATGTTTTTAAGAGTCTGGACTCTAGATCCATTGTGGTTTTTTTTCCAGTGTTTATCATGGCAGCATAGTAAGTCCTTGCTTGTCTCTAATAACCAGGCACGCAGACTCTGTTAGCCGTCGATGAAAACTTAAAAATTCGGTAATACTCACTTCAAAACGCAGGAAGCAGACGTGAGGATGCGGACGGCATCGATGAGGATCCCGTAGCACATGGTCTGGCCGTCCTCCTGGAAGCGCCACTCGACGTCGCGGACCATGTCGCAGTTGCGGGGGCGCGCGAAGGCGCCCGCGCTCGCGTTGTCGCGGTTGAACAGCTCGCCGGAGCCGTCGCCCAGGACCGGGGACTGCGCCTGGACGAACGGCCTCTGCGTCGCCGTCACCACGTCCGAGATCGTGTTCGAGATGATCCCCGGCCGGAGTCCCGGGAAGCGGTTGTTCAGACTCGTCGAGATCTCCGCGATCGTCGTGTTGATCTTGTCGCGGATGTAGTTCAGGTACGTCTTCGACACGGCCAAGTCCTCGGTGCTGCTCTCTGGCGGAGTCTCCGACGTTGAGGAGTGGCCTGGGACCATGGTCGCCATGGGTCTCTCGTGGTCTGGAGTCAGCTCGTGGTAATCTGGAGCCTCCGGTTGACCCTTCACCGTTGGATACCCTCCACCGTCTAGATGAGAATCGCCAGTAAGAGACATGTGTCCACCCATCGGATTCACTGAATGGGGACGATCAAGAGACTCGTGGTAAACTGGACTCTCTACCGGCCGATGCGATGAACCATTTACAATTGGATACCTTTGCGAGTCCTGTTGATGGGTGGGATCACCGGTGGGATGTCCTCCCATTGGATGTCCTATTGGATATCCTTCTCCAGATTCATGCCCGTTGAGCGGATATTTATGCATATCCTGTTGATGGATGAGATCACCGGTTGGATGTCCTCCCGTTGAATGTATCATTGGATATACTATTCCAGACTCAGGGCCGTTGATCGGATATTTTTGCATGTCTTGTTGATGAATAGGGTTACCGGATGGATGTCCTCCCATTGGATGTCCTATTTTAGACTTGACGGGATATCTTTGCAAGTCCTGTTGATGCATGGGATCGCCGTTTGGATGTCCTATTATTGGATGTTCCATTGGATGTCCTATTATTGGATGTTCCATTGGATGTTCCATTGGATATCCTATTCTAGTCTTATGCCCGCTGATCAGATTTGTGGTTGAATGTGTGCTTGTTTCCTTCGGACCCTGCGTGCTGTATGGTATTTCGATCATCGATGGACGCTCGGGGCTCACCAAGTCCATTTCGTATTCGTTCTCTTCGGCGTACTCGTCGATCAAGTCAGCTTCTACGAGATCTTTCTTCGGGAGGTCGATTCGCGTGCCGTAGACTTCGGAATCGTCCGTTTCTGGTCGCACCTCCGTCATCGTCGGCCGGATCCGCACTATATTTATCTCGGAATCGTTCGAGACACGGTTCTCAGTAATCAGCGGTCGGATATGAGTTGTCTTTGGGGGAGATTGAGTTACTACCGGGAGCATTTCCTTTTCTGGTGTTTCCGGTCGAGTTTGATCTTTTTGCACCATCGGTCGGGCGCCAGCTTGTGGGTGAACTTGAGTTTGAACCGGGTGATATTCCGTCATCCCCGTCGAAGGTCGGACCATTTCCGGCCATATGTCGTTCGGCCCATGTATCCTCAATATCTCTTGGCCTTTACTCACACCTGGGCGAACTTCGCTCATATCAGGTCGGACTTTAAGAATCTCCTTTTCGATCTCGTTCACTTCCGGTCGCCTTGCCGGTTCTTCGCGATGAAACAAGTCCTCTTCTTGCTCGTCCTCCTCTTCTCCTTCCTCGTTCTCTTGCTCCTCATCTTGGTCGAATAAAAGAGTGTCCTGTTCTTCGGGCATCTCTTCGGGTCCCTGTCCATCTACGTCATCATCCACGTAGGTTTCTTCCGGTACATCCGTTCTTGGGCTCGTGGTTAAGTCAGGCTCGTGCATCGATATTGTGACCTTCGTCGTCGTCCCTTCGCTCATCCCTCCCGTCTTCCGCGACCCGCTACCCTCTCTATCCTCCATGTCTATGGAATTCTCTCGAAGAGGAGGGTAGGAAAACTCCCCTTCGAAAGTCGATTGTTCGGTGGCATCAGATGTCATCTCTGTAATGTCATCACCTTGCCTTGTGGCTGGGGCTCCTGGTGATTCTGTTGTAGGTAGACTTGTAGTCTGGGTGTTTGCGGCTGTGTGTGTACTCTCGGGTGGATTCGTGAATTCAGTCGCATTTACGTTTAGAGCTAAGGGTGTGGTGGAAACTGGAGTGGAGTTGATTTGAGTGTAAGAAGCGTTAGTAGGGGTGGGTTTGGGGGTTTTGGGTCCATCGGTGGTGGTGGGGTGGGTCCACGGCCCTGTGGGTCTCATATCGTTTGCTTTGCAGCAGGAGAAATAGGCGGAGGGCGTGAAGGCGTTCTTGAGGCCCTCGCAGTGGCCTTGCGGGTCCGGCAAGAAGTCTGCGTCCAATGTGCAGTCCAAACCCAATAAGCAGTAGCCGTTTCCGCCGCCGCATGTCATGACCCCGGATATTACAAAAAGTCCTGAAACAAAAATATGAAGAGATTTACCCAATTGCTAAAAGAAAAAACGCATGAAAATAGCCCGAAGTTCGGTGGCCCGCTTTCCACAATACAGAGGTTGTAACCTGGGAGCATTTAGTTTGAATCTAAGCTAAAATTCTGGAGATAACCTTTTACTACCATCATGTTTGCTTCGCGATTTATTGGAATTTCATTGTTTTATTCTTCTTTAGTCAATAAAAAATGTGAATCACTTCTGAAGTATACCCCTCTCGAGCATACTTCACCTTTAATGTAATTTACCCATGATCCCTCCTTTTTCGTTCGTTCAAATTCGCAAAATAAGGCAATTTTTGTAATTCATTCCCAAAAAAGCATACTTTGAAATAAGTTTTGCTTAAATTTCAAAAGTCTTGAATTTAAAAGAAAAAAATTTTCTCCTTTAGTCGTCAGAAGCTTCAACCATCAAAAGCTTCACAAATTTTTCATAAATTGTCATTTCTTAGGCGAGAAGTCCAATCATGTGCGAGAGTTCCAATCATGTGCGAGAGTAATATGACAGAGCACTCTGTATCCTAAAATCTGAATTCTTTGAGTAGCCAGAAGAAAAATCAGTAAATGCTTTCGTCAGAAATGCTCACTTGTTTCCTGGTAAAAACACAATTTGGGAGAAAGAACCATTTACAGGGGTGAAATTGCACGCCGAACTTCACTATGACAGTCTCAGCAATATGAGAATATGGCAACCTCAATCTTGACGATCAGCTCAAGCAATAGTTAATGTGAGAAAGAAACAATACTCGATTGAGTAGTCTGCTAAAGCCGTTGTAGTGCGCAATTTGACCCACGAATGGTTTTGTTCTCCTTGTGACCAGGCAATTCAAAGTTCTCGTAACCAACAAACAATAAAAACGTAAATATCTTAGCTAGAAGTTGATTTCAGTAGTTTTCGTTATGCGAATCGTGTTTTCCGTAAAAATCTGGTGAAGAATCATGTATTAGAGTGCTTACATTAGTACCTTGTTTAATGGTCCATTCAATCTAAAAAAAAGCGTACATGCAGAGCTTTCCTCAATTTTTTTAGAGTAAATATTTTATCGGGAGAAACGAGGCAACGTTGGAGCATTCATACGGCGTCGAAACACAACATGGGCCTTTTATAGCCCCTTTGTTCGATGCCGCGACTATCCTAACGCGAGTTCGAATAATCGCGCCAAACACGGTGTAGTCGGCGTCAAACTCATATGAGCGCCTGCGAGACTGCAGGAATACTTCATGCATTGCGCCAAACAGTGCGGTCTGCGTCAAACGTGTGTTAGCGCCTACAAGACTGCGTGAATACTTCTCTCATTGCACCAAACGCAATGCGAGAGTTCTCTGCGATAAAGATTCGACTACGAGTATAGGCACATTGCCGCTAGCTGGATTAAAGGCGCATCACACTATGAAAATGACTCGACACTCGACCGCACCTCCTTCCCCGGCTTGCGCGAGGCTAAAATCACCGCAATACTAGGTCCACTCGTCATTACTTTTGCCGGTCCCTGCCCGGTTTTTACCCCAACTAAAGTGTAAATATGTATCTTAATTGCAACGATTCAAAAACTCGGACGATGTTTAAACGATGCAACGATTCTAAAACTAGAATCGTATAAAATTAATGTTGGTTTTATAAAAAGAAAACAGAACGAACGAAAATATCGCGTCAAAATGTTTGTGATTTTATTTCATATATTTTTCATTTATTCATATATTTGGCGTTATAGCGTTTCGAAGGTTTACAATATTTGAGGTCTTGGAGGACAAGGCACATAAGTGCAGTTTTTCCTATTTCGAGAAATACATGTTGAAGTTTCGGAGGTAGATGAATCCTCATGGCGCGGCGGAGAGAAAGTTCAAACTGACTTTTTGATGCTTACAAATTGGGATTGGGGAGCGAATTTTTCACAGAATATTCATTGAAACTAGTTTTACTCACTGGAAAAAAACACATTGGATCTAGAGTCTAAACTCTTAAAAACATCGGCAAGAAAAAGTACTCTTGATTCAATCAGAATCTAGCTTAAATCAGGAGGCAAGCCTCTTCCTCTTAGTTTAAGCGGATTTCGTTTTGATTCAAGCAAAAATCCGATTGAATCAAGAGTATTTTTTCTTGTCAATGTTTTCAAGAGTCTGGACTCCAGATCCAATGTGTTTTTTTTCCAGTGCTTGTAATCATTAATATCTCAATTGTTTCAAAACAGTACTTATGCACCTTGTCCTCCAAGCCCTTTCTTTCATCTTCAGACTAAGAATTACTTCCTGATCTGATTGTGAGCGAACTTGTGTGACTCAACGGGCTCGGCAAACTCGCTGGCGGAAATTCAGCCGGACTTAAAAATGTAAAATCGCCCTAATTCTGCGGCTGCATCCTGTGGCCTGAAGAGGAATTTGCATTCACGCACTGCCCGAGCCCACTGTCAATGAGGATGGGTCAATGTGTGACTCGGAGACTGAGAGGGTGTTGAACTACCTACCAGTGTAACAAGGTCGAGTCGTAGCGCGGCGCTGGATCACAGTTGCCAATTTTAGACCATAAACTATCTTACTTAAAGACTTCTAGCAGTAGTGCCGACGAAATGAGGATCGACGAGCGAGTCGTTTTCTAACAAGTGTTCATGATTTTGCCAACGTGCGTTAAACTCACTGAAAAAAAAACACATTGGATGTAGAGTCCAGACTCTTGAAAACATTGACAAGAAAAAGGACTCTTCATTCAATCAGATTTTAGCTCAAATCAAAAGGAAATCTGCTCAATTAAGAGGCCTGGCTCTTGATTTAAGCTTGAATAATCTGATTGAATCAAGAGTATTTTTTCTTGTCGATGTTTTTAAGAGTCTGGACTCTAGATCCGATGTGTTTTCTTTTCCAGTGAGGGAAAACGCCAGGGAATCTGCAAAACTTCGGTATGTCAGGGAATTTTATTTTGCAAGCGATTTTCATATCAGGGGAAACGAAAAACACGGATTTTTCCGGCAAATGTTTCGCGAATTTTACTCTTGCGGAGATTTCTACACTGGAAAAAAAACACATTGGATCTAGAGTCCAAACTCTTGAAAACATCGACAAGAAAAAGTGCTCTTGATTCGGTCAGAATCTAGCTTAAATCAAGAACGAAGCCTTTCAATTTAAGCGGATTTCGCTTTGATTCAAGCAAAAATCCGATTGAATCAAGAGTATTTTTTCTTGTCAATGTTTTCAAGAGTCTGGATTCTAGATCCAATGTGTTTTTTTTCCAGTGCTTCGTATATACAACTGCGAAATTCTCATTTCCAAAATGTACAACATGATATCGTCACCATCGATCCGGTCAGAGTATCACAACCGCCATGGGACATTTAAAAATTTCCGCTGTCATTTTTACAGAGAAATAGTTCAATGAAGCTCTCCGAAAATTTCGCTGAATTCTCTTTGTGCTGCCGATAAAATTCAGCGAAATTTTCAAACAGATGTAACCAACAATTCCTCTCCAAAAAAACAAAATGGAGACGGAAATTTTTAAACGTGACATGACGCCTGTGACACTTTGGCCAAAGGGTGACTATATTTTCTATTAGTTTCCCTGGTGCATGCCCTACATCCCTCTATAGACTTAAAGGCAGTGGCGTAGACAAGGGGGGAGGGGTCCAGGGGGTCTGAATCCCCTCCCCTTAGCCTCGTTAATCGTACATTTCTTTTTACTTTTGGAGGGCAGACATAAAATATTATCGGGGACGTACACAAAATAATGTAAATTTACCGTCACGTTATTGAATGGACCCTCTCCCCCCCTTTTGAAGAATTCCTCACTACGCCACCGCTGAAAAGTACACTAATAAAAATATTTGTATTCTTTGGCTACTTTTGTTTGGTTAATATAAGAGATGATACGCACTTCAACCCAAAGTTTGTGTTGATTTTAGTAAAGTTTCCGGTGAATTTAGCGCAGAAAACGACAGAGGAACTGGGAAACCCCAAAGTCAACCGAGGGCTTAGGTTATTTTGTGTTTTAACCCCCGTATTAACCAAACTTTTGTGTTGAGTTTTCTCTCTGTGTAAATGAGCCAGAAAAAGTAGTCTTCATCGCGAAACGTAGTTCAATGCTAAGACATTCGCAACTACCGCACCGAGAGACTTTAACGCTGGGCCAGTAAAAAGGGGAGTGTGGGGATTGGGAAATGTGAATTTTCATTCAGTTTGTACTTGGGAACTTTGACTTTCAGGAATGCAATACACTTTCTTGCGGGTAGTAACATACGTCTTTAGAAACTATTGAAACTATTGGACTATTGAGCTTAGGCCAACCAGAGCGCCTGACAAGTAGATAAACATCGGCTTTCGAATCGTGAAAAATCACGTCTAGTGCTTTAAACTTATCAGTCTCCACGCGCTGACACATAAATTCACACCAGGCTGATGGAAACAGCACACAGCTAATAAATCACCTGCCTATGCCTCTGCTGAAGAAGCTTTCAACAATTGAAACTAGAGAGACATAAGTTCCTGATTTGGAAACAGCACCAGGAAACTAGTTCCACGCTCATTGGCCATTCTCGGTACAGGGTTTCTCGCTCTTCCAACTGGCATTATTATACTTTGTGTTAGTTTTGCCAAATGAATATTATATTATACCAAAGACTCAACTCAAGAATCTTGTATCTCAGTTTCCATCGTTGCAGACTTCTCGCACTTTATCATTTATCTGGAGAGCACGCCCCCTAACCCCAGTTGATACTATTTTCAATTTCTGAGGGATCCAGGCCCCCCTTGAACCCTCCTTCGTACGCCCATACTCAAGAGCCTCATGAAAAGCCAGGTGAACCAATCAAAGTGATCCAGACACGGCAATACTCTCCTTTGATATAGTCACCTTCCGGCCAAAGCGTCACAAGCGCCGTGCGACGTTTCGAAATTTCCACCGCCATTTTATTTTTTTATAGAGAAGTTGCTCATAACGAAGCTGTCCGAAAATTTCACCGACGTAACTTTGTGCTGCCGATAAA